AGCTTCGGTGTGAGTGGTTGAAATAGCACGTCGATAAAGATGACAGACAAGTGGCTCATCCAATCATATGCAAGGAGTAAATTTGATCATAGCGCTCTGCATCAGCAGTGCTGTGTCTGACTCCCTGCCAGCTCCCAGATCAGCTTCTCTGATTGGTTGATGAGGCGCATTGAAGAGAAAAAAATGACATTTTTCCAATTCCAGCATCTGATTATTATGAAGTGCGTCACGCGCCTCAGATGCTACTGCAGCTGCTCGATATGCGCTGCAGGACTTTTTGATGCGTGTAAAGCGGCTGCTACCCAAAGCGCGTTAGGTCTGAATTTAGCACAAGGGTCGCTCTCTGCAAACTAGCCAACTAGCTTAGCTAAGAGCTTAGATAGCAGCTCTCTGAGACTCTTGGTCATTGTCTCCGGTTTGAAACAGCAGCAGATCTTCTCTACACTAGAACATAATCTGAGCCACAAAGTTTTGTGCCACTATAGTGTCTGTCATCAATGTTGGATAAACCTTTCAACCCAAAACTGAAATTATTTTGAAATAATGTTCCCACTTATCTGCCAGGGACACAATAAATATACCTGTGTAAGTTAACATTTTAAAACTTCTTCAGGTTTTCTTTTGGGGAATTGATGGTTTGCTGATTGCCTTGTCGGTCGTGGAGGTCGGCGTCGCCATCAGCTCTGTGGTCTTTTCCATCAAACGTCTGAAAAGCTTCAATGAAGAACGAAACACGGTAAATTATGGAAAATATATCAGGTCATATTTTTTCTTATCCATCCATAAATCCAGACTGTAAATTTTTTTTTATTTTTAGATTTTGTATTTTTTTTTAACAAATATCCATGTTATCTCAACAAGTAAAAACATTTTTTTAAGCACAAATTTCAAAAAAGGTTTAACATTCAGTCTAGTTGCCTTCTTTTTAAACATGTCAGAAAACAACACCTTAAGGGACTTTCCGACAGGATATAGTTCGCACTGCGCTTTGGTTTTCTATTGACTGTGCATTTGCAAGACAGTCAAGGATCAGCATATTTTAACTTTGACCATGGCGTGCTCTGCGCAGCACGTTTGCGCCATTGCACGGAGCATGCCATTGAAAATAATGGATTTCAAAGTGCAACTTCAACTGAGGCCTCTTTCCCACTGTAATTAGCGGGTTAACGCGTGTTTGCAAACATAGGTCGATCTCATTAGGCTCCATCCCACTGGTAGGAAAAGGCTGGTCTAACCCCTCCGTGGCAAGTTGCGTGGTCTCTGTCCTCCTGCCGTTGCATGTCTGGTGACACCATCACGGTTAGCGTTGATGTTGTCATTTGTGATGTCACAAATGAATCAGGAAAGTAAACAATGAAGAGTGCCATGTAAGGAAGCCGGGGCACAGTCAGTGTGCTTTATTGTTTCGCTCTGTTATTTGTCTGAATGTAAACAAATTGTTTCGGCTTGTTAGATCAGAATCGACTGGTGCGGCGTGTTGGCATCAGTACATTGCGTTCAATGGTATCACGTAAATTAACTAAAAACCAATTGTTCCCGGGTTTAATCTGTTTTTTTTGGCCAGTGGAAAGGGGGTATAAGTGAGCACTACATCCTGTCTGAAAGCACCTTTACACAGATATGCTGAATCCAGAGGATGTTTATTGGGATTATTATTTGAATCAAATGAGCCCTCATGCCTTCATTTTTTGTTATTTACGATTGCGCAGTGGGTAGCACTGTTGTCTTGCAACAACAAGGTTCTAGGTTTGATTCCCGGTCTGGGCTCTTTCGTATTGTGGTTTGCATGCCTGGGTTCTCCCCCAGCATGACCCTGACAGAATAAGCAGTTCAATTATACTGATATCCAGTCTTTGACTGATTGTTGTTCAACTTTGTTTTTCTTCAGAGCTCTAGTGACCGGGAACAAATGTCCAATCCAGAAACAGAAGAACCCTCATATGAAACTTGCATCGCCTGACTGGAGAGAAGAAAGACACGATGTCCTCTACCAACTGACTCCTGTTACTGTTTAATTTTAGATTGAAATTCACGAGGATTGAATTGGTTAGAAACTCATGTAATCTCATGTCAACTCATTTAGCCTCATGTATACAGATTAGCAAACTTATTTACTGAATGATTAGAATTTTTACTATATTATGTGTATCATTGTTTGCCATCTGCCATCTTATTGTGTTCTTGCTGACTATTGAGGCGGTAAAACAATTACCTTGTTGATATATGAGCACTGGAAAAACTTGGAAGCAAAGGCTTTATTGTAAATAATTTAGGGCAATTATTTTATATACTCTAATAATCCCAGAGGGAAATTACTTCTCTGCATTTAACTCATCCCCTTGGGGAGCAGTTGGGTGCCATTGTGCGGCGCCTGGGGAGCAGTGTGGGGTTAAGGGTCTTGCTCAGGGAGCCAGAGTGGCAGTGGGGGATCGAACTCACAACCCCAGGATTGAGCCCTATGCTCTAACCACTAGTACCAGTGGTTGAATTGAATTTAATCAGTTTTTAACTGATTAAATTTGGTTAAAAACTTGTCATATGAGGAAAGGCGATCCTCTTTGTTAAATAACTGAGCCACGTGTGAAATGTTAACCCTTTACATTCAAGATATTTAAAATTGTTTTATGACTAGACGTTTTAGCGATTTAACATATCTGTAATTATATTCTGACTAGTCAAAATACCTATTCAAGATATCTCTAATTACACTCTGACTAGTCAAAATGATGTCAGATTTACCATTAACTTGTATGGAGAGGTCAATTTAAGATATCTAGAATGAATTAATGACTATCTGAAATACATATTTCAGATATCTACGATTCAATTACGACTAGTCATAAAATAATTTTAAGATATCTCAATTTTAATTTTGACTAGTCATAATTTTAATTAAAGATATCTCAAATGACACCATAATTCACGATATCTTAAATGTATTTTAGGATAGGAGATATGCAGTATTGACTAGTGAAAACTCAATTATAGATATCTTAAAGGCAAATAATGACTAGACAAAACAAATATAAAGATATATTGAATTGTAATTTGGACTATTCGAAACTCCTTTTAAGATATCTCTAAATGAATTAAAGATATCTTGAAAGGAATTTAGACTAGGCAAAATGTAATTTAAGATATCTTGAATTATTATTCTTCCTAATCAGAATGTAAATACAGATATCTTAAATTACCATTCCAGATAGCCAAAATGTATTTTAAGATATCTGGGATATAATTATGGATGGTCAGATGAAACCGAATTTATGTTAAAAAGGCTTGCCATACAGAGCTATAGTGAAACTGACAATGCCCACGTGCATGGCAGCTGGATGCTGGAATACATCGGGTAAAAGTGAAAAAAAGAGTTATTCCACCTTTCTGATTCCTGATCCTCCACGGACGGGTTGGTCGTTGGATCGCCAACTTGAAGAGGGAGGATTTGCCATCGAACTTCTGGCCAGAGAAAAAACCCGTAATATGTAGCCAACATTTGGAAGAAGAATGTTTTCAAGATGACTTGGATAATAGCGCGTTGTGACAAACACCAGATACAGCACTGGGACTTGATCAACAGCCGATACCGCACCGCCGTGACGTCACTAACCAGTAGGTGGCAGTAGTGTTCTTTGACAAACATGGATGCCTCCAGTAAAGCACATTCACATGAAAATTACTCTGAATTATAAACACTGATCATTTATTGGATGTAATAATTTTATACTTTATGTACTTTCAGACGTTTGTCTTCTGAATATGAGCGGACTTCTCCTTTAAATATAGCCGGAGTACTACTCTTGTTTTTTTCTTCAAATTGATCACACCAAACTTTTATGTGACTATCAATCACGATCATTAAGGATTTTTTTCTTTGAAAACGAGGTGATATGCATGAACTTATGGATCACATTATGTCTAATAATAAAATGCACAATGTTCTAAAACTATTTAATGTTGCCTATTCTATAAAATTAGCTAACCTGATAAAAGAAATTGTTCTTAGCTGTGCAGCAGATGTCACCAGCGTCAGAAAACGCTTAATCGTTTTTCACTTATGAGGAATTAGCTTTGGTTATAAGATGCTAGACACAGAGAAACCCTTGGAAATGTATAATCTGGGATAAATAAAGGCAAGGTTTTAAAGGAAAGTAAGAAGAACATGATAGCAAAGAGACAAACGGAATTAAAAGTGTTTTAATATGGGGAACATATTTAAATATAATCAGTTGGAAGTAATGAGCGATGCCTGTTCCCACAACAGAGCATGCAAAGCTCTGCAGGTATGGATCCCTGGCAGAGGGAGCAGAAACGGGGCAGATTCAGGAGAACATGCCCTGCAGGGGTTACAGTTATAAGGTTTGTGAATTCACAAACTCCTGAAAATACATCTTACCAGAAGCCAACAGATGCATTAGCCTTGATATAGAGATGTTTCAGACCGAGATCTCATAATTACGAGATACTGATCACACAATTATGAGATAAGCTGTCAGATTTTTATTTCTTTGGAGAATGCAATACGCTTCGGTAGGAAGTTACTTTTAGCTAAAAGATTTGATTTTATTACTTTTTCCATTGTGTCTGATGTGTGTTTTAAAAGCTAAACTGAAAAGCCAACAGGTTAGTGAGCAGCTATAGGATGCTCCATGCTAATGAGTTTGAGTGTTGCATTAGGGAGAACCCGTATTTAATACACTGCCTGTTTTAAATGGTTTTTCCATTTGCAAACCTATAATTTATTCTTAGGTTCTCCTCAGCTATCTAACAGAAGCAAAAGAAGGAAAATAAAAAAAAACACACAGAGTGATTTTTAAGTAAATTGCATTTTATTGCATTTTATTGTATTGCATTTACTTATTCAAAGCTTTTTAAAGCTGATAATAGTGCTTATAATTTCAATTTGACCCTAACCTAATAATACGAGTAGCAAACTCTTTTTTTACAGCTGCTTTCTCTTTTTCTGAACAGCTTAGTGCTTTAAAAAAGTTAGAGAACAAAAATCCCAAGTAAACTTTTGAACAACTCCAACCTCAGAACACAAAAAAACAGTGATGTCACAGAAAAGCTGAGCTAAATGAGAAATGGTTCCTTTCAAAAGTGCGTTAGGCAAGAGAAAAGCACAATTTACAGAAAAAATCCAAAGACAGATAATAAGTAAATGGTTAATGTGGCTTTTAATCCCATGAGAGGTGAAGGGATCAAGTTTACAGGAAGTGGAAAATGTTCAGGCTGCAGGCTCGGCCGTCACTTCCTCCAGCAGCGGCTTTTTTATCTCTGGGTCCTCTGCAGTCTGCAAGAGTTTAAAAAAACATGCTGAGTCAGTAATAAAATGACAAAACCCCTAAAAAGACACTAACTAAATAACATACACTTCATGTTACTTGGTTTTTCATCCTTATAAAGTGTCAGATATTAGTTATTTCCCCTGAAATGAGTGTCTTTGAATAATCTTTTTTTTGGTATTAATTATAATCAAAGTATTGATTATTCTGAGAACCGTAAAATGAATACATGTACAGTGGGGGAAATAAGTATTTGACCCCTTGTTGATTTTGCAGGTTTGCTCACTTCATTCTAACAGTGAGAGACAGAATCCCAAAGAAATTTATAAAAATTGATAACCATCTGATGAGGAAAA